AATTCTAGGTAATTCAATTGCCTAAAACTTATTTGTATAGAAATTGTTAATTAAATGTGTTTGATTGATTTAGTTTTTAATCTAAAAAATGTTATACTTGTCTACTTTTTATTGGTGGGTAAATGAGAGAGCGAATTACCTGAATAATAAAAAATACCTCTCCCTAATGAGAATATGGTTGTATGACCAAAAGTACACTACAAAACAAATGGCCTCCAGCGACCAAGGTTTCAGCGACCAATTGAATTTGGTCGCTATAAGCACTTTCAGCGACCAAATATTGGTTGCTGGAAGTGTTGGTCCGTTAAAATAGTATTACTTTTGGAAAGACCTTTAGCGACCATTATTTGGTCGCTGGTATTTTTATCTAGCAACCAATTTTGGCTTGGTCGCTAAAGAAATTGGCGGGATGTGTCCCGTGTAATTTTCGAGCACTTTCAGCGACCACGTAAGTGGTAACTAAATACCTAACCCTTCGGCAACCACAACGTGGTCGCTGAAACCCTTATCTAGCGACCAACTTTCGTGGTCTCTTGATATTTGCCTTTCAGCGACCAAGGACATGGTCGCTGAATACCTAAACCTTCAGCGACCAGGTGCTTGGTCGTTGAAACCCATATCTGGCGACCAACTGTCTTAGTCGCTGGAAACTGACCCTTCAGCGACCAATGGTGGTCGCTAAACCACCTATACTTCCCTCTCCCCATTTTCGCATTGGCGCCAACACTCCCGCTTTTTTTTTTGCTTTTCGCATTATTCAGTGACCAAGGAAGTGGTCGCTGAATACCGAACCATAGCTGATTCCCATAGCTGAAAACTTTGGCGCATAATTTTACTTCCTTTTTTTCGCGTTATTTATCGACCACTAGGCGTGGTTACTGATTATTACAAACTTCTAACAACCAAAATAAAGTGTTATATCATGTTACTTTTTAATGTAAAGCAAAATAATAATTCATATTAATATTAAAAAGCTCATATGAAAAATTTATGCTTTATTTTTCCTATTATGAGACAAATCGATTTAGGTTTGTTACAATGCAAACGGACCACAAAAAATTGAAACCAATATGATCTATTCGATGGTTCATTGTTTTTTTTATTTCAATTACCGATTTTGAATTCGCCCAAATCAATTAACAACAAAAAATTCATAGGATAAATTTCATTTACAATAAAGTACTACATTTTATTAGAAAAGAAAAAGGAGAATCAGAAATACAACATTGTGTGTTGACGACATCAGTTATATGATGAAATTTGGTCTTAACAGATCTAATTTGTAATGTTTTAAAATCATCACGATCTCAATTTATAGGATATGCTTGCGTCATATCCAGTTACCCTACAAAATTATTTATTTTCCATGACAACAACACCTTGCATCACCGCCTCATATGCTTCAAACTAGTATCGATTGAGACACATATGGAACGAACAAGATGAATCTAGATTCACTCATCGTCGGGCTTGGATTCCATGTTAGATATAATCAACACCACAGCTCCGCCATCCAGATAGTCCTCGGCAACTTTAGTCTCGTTCGACTGATCTAATTGCTTCCCATAACTTACGATTGAATTACCTTTGCCTGCAATGTATCGTAATTCCTTTTGATGTGTCCTTTCCTCTTGCAATTACCAACGAATTAACAACAAATTAGTAACGAATTATTATTTTATCATTTTTAAAAATTATATATTTGGTTACTATCGGAATTACCAACGGATGTTTTCCGTTGATAAAATTTCAATGCTAATCCATTGGTAAAAAATAAAAAATAAATTAAATATATTTATCAACTGATTTACCAACGAATGTTTCCGTTGGAAAATTAAATGCTGAAGCCCTAAACCCAAATGGCAGACCAAAGGCTCTCTTACATTCTCTCTAGTCAAATGCTAGCACGGAAGCCCCCAAGCCAGAACTTAATCTTTCATCTCTCTCTCACGCTCTCCTGATCTCCCCTCACATTGCCACCGTCGATCTGTTGATTGTCCATGATGGTCACTAATCGCTTGTACCTGTAAGTTCTTCAATCTTCTTCAATAATTTGTGTTTTTTTCTTTTTCTTCAAGAAGGCTGGAGCTTCTGTTGTTGTTCAGGTCTCCGATGAACCAACTCAAGAAATCAAAGAGGCTATTGAACCCATGGAAAGATCTCCCGTGTGAAAAGACTCATTGAATCTGGGGCAAGTGTATGTTTCTTTTTCACCAATCCCTTATCCTTTCTCCCATGTATACATTTTTTTTTTGGGCAGATATTGAGTAGATTTGTTGAAAAATTGTGTTATGTAAGGTGTTTTGTTGCATCCTTTACCATCTATTTGATCTGAACTATGTGAAATTTGATATTTGATTTAGATTAGCATTTGGAATTTAGGTTTGGTGAGGCTGTGGTTGGTTTGCCTGGTGGATGTGATATCGGGGCTCGCCTAGTTGAAATTTTTGTCCGTGGGCTTCAAGCTCTTGGTGCTGTAGTTGAAGTGAGGTTAGTAATTATCACTGAATATTGTGGTGTATTCTATTTTCTTCCTTTATTTTATTAGTTTTCTTAATACATATTGCGTTTTCTATAATATTGCTTTCCCTCTTTTATAGGATAGCATGTTTTTCAGTTCATTTTTTTCGTCATGGTAAGAAGTTGGTGTCGACTTCTATTTCCTTGAATTGATTCCTTGAGAAAGGAAATCAGAGCTAGACCATGCTAAAAATCCCCAAGCCTGATAGAGTGAAGTATTCACTTTATCCCAATGAAAGAATATGTTGATACTCCTTCAACCCCTATTAAGGAATGTGTTTTTTTCAATGCTTTAAAGTAGCCCATCTGTTTCCTAATGTGCTAACTATATCCATCGTTGATTATTGACATTAACTGCCCCAATTCACTTAACACCCACCTCTTTCATTTGGTAGTGTTGTTGACACTGAGCTACTGACCTTTTTTCAAGTTTGGAATCAAGTTGGTGACAACCCTGTTTACTGCTACGGAGAAGAGAGACACGGCATCATTGTTTGCTTTTGGGGGATATTTAGTTTTCCATCATTAACTTGTCATAGTTTGCAGTTCTTATCATGACGGAGAGCATTACAAACTTGAATATGTATGTGTGTGTGTGTGTGTGTATGTTTATGAATTTATTGTCGTTTATCAATTCCAATTGAACCCTGAAGCTAAGTTGAGTCAAACAATCATAATTTCAAATATTTGAACTTGATAGAAAAACATAATATGATTATTGATCAAAACAATAATCAAATCCTTAATTCTCAATAATATAACCATA